ACTATCGCCAAGCAGCTTGGTCAGAAGGTGACAACAGTTGGTGCAATCACAAAACACAACACAACTGTCAGTCTCCCTAGGTCTGGTGCACCATGCAAGATCTCACCTCGTGGAGTGTCAATGATCATGAGAACAGTCAGGGAGGAATCATCCCAGAACTACACGTGAGGATCTTGTCAATGATCTCCAGGCAGCTGGGACCACAGTCACCAAGACAGTGCTGACCGGTGTGTTCTGGTGGAGGGCTGTCCCCCTGTCAGAACACAATAACACAGTGGGGGAGATAGCTGTACTAACACGAAGGGGCATGACCAAAAATTGTCTGCCGACCGGCTTCCTGTCAGTGCCCCTCAGCCAATGGCTGAGAGTGCTGACTGATGTGTTCTGGCGGGGGGCAGTCCCCCTGTAAGAACACAATAACACAGTGGGGGAGATAGCTGTACTAACACGAAAGGGCATGACCAAAAATGGTCTGCCGACCGGCTTCCAGTCCGTGCTCTGAGCCAATGACTGAGAGTGCTGACTGATGTGTTCTGGCGGGGGGCAGTCCCCCTGTCAGAACACAATAGCACAGCGGGGTAGATAGCTGTACTAACACCGCCTGTGAGTGCAGCAATCTGTCAGTTTTTTTAATGTGTGTAGGAGACTTTAGGTTACCTGTACTGAACTCTCTACAAGCAGAGCACTTGTAAACCTGAAAATGGCATGCTTATCTGAATGAGCCATTTATCACACTGCCTTCTTGTACAGTCCCATTATGTTCAAGTAAAAATGTGCAAGCAAATGCAATTAAAAAAAGCAAGAGCAATAATGATGTGCAAAGTGTCACGACCCATGAACACAATTTTGTCAGGTCAGCGTAAGGGGGGAAAAAGACTGGTTAATGTGGATTATTGGATAGTTCCTTTACTGAGTAAGCCTCTTTGTTTTTACAGGAAACCAGGGAGAAATACAACTGCGGCACATTCTGCTGCAGAGAGGATGTTATTCCCTTTTCAGTTGTAGAATGTACTGCAGTAGAGGCAGTTAAGTGCCAGCTGCTCTGAGATGGGGACAATTCTTTCAGAATCAGTAGTCATGATATGGTGTTTCTGAAAGGAACATCATACTGAAGTGAGGGCCTTGGAGTATATTTCAAATAGCTTGTGAAAAACTGCTTCTCACTTTTAAACGGGCGTGTGTAATTTAATGTAAACTGTACTCACATTTGCATCAAATCCAGATATTTTACCCAGCTACTGTGCAATTAAAACATTTTTCATTATTTTTTATATGTAATTGCATGAATTCATGTATTTTTATATCTGTATGGAGTGCAGTTTAAACTGATATTTTAGTTATACTGGATGCTGGGAAGTTAAATTAACTGACAGTTTCTTTTATCTCTCAGGAAGTGTATTGGTGATTGATCTACATCTGAGCTTTTGGGTCTGTAGACCTGCTGTGCCATTACGCGGGGATCACACCCTCCTTGCTAGATTTCATACAATATTAAAGTTTATATTATGGAGAATGAAAAAGGAGATGCTGGAAAAATGAAAGGTGGGCATGTGTCAAGAATAATGGCAGGGAGCTCTCAATATGGGGTATTCAAGATTTATAACATGATTGAACTGCTTCAGCTCTCCAGTCTCTGCCAAAATATCCCCTTTGTTTGAAGTGACCATTTAAGTTGGCTACACATTACAATGTGATTGTACCCTCTGCTTTAGATTTAATAACAAATATGTACTGATAATGTATACACATAAATTGGATTGGAACATAAAGTTACATAGATTACAGGGACAAAAATTGCTGAAGTAGGGAGGAAATTATTTTATCAGGTAGGCTGCATTTGAGAGGGCAGTGGGGGAGTTTAATCAAAGGACAACTATACCAAAAGTACAGCTGGATCATTTTGATGAATATTTTCTGCACAACAGCGCTAAAGAGACCGCTTAATCAGAATAATGATCCTATAATCTGAGATCAATTTAGAAGAAAATCTAATCAAATTGACCTGTTTTGTCTTTGTTGTGCTAAATAATTGTACAGCGCTAGCAAACCCTTTGGCGCTATATAAACTCGTGTTAATTTAATAATAATATCAATCCAGTATAAAGATCATCATGATCAGTGATTGTCATTTGCCACATGGATATCCGCATTCTTTTCCTGCTGGGTACAATGTACCCCAAGGATGAGCTCCATAGAACTAAAAACTTGACAAAAATAGACTAAGTAAAGGTTCCCATCAATCTAATGTTATGCATTTTATTTTAAAACAATAAGCTTGCCTTGTGTTACAGCTTATGTGCAACTGCCACTTTTCACCCTGCAATAACAGAGTATGCATTAGATATCATAGCTATCCCCTCTTTTATTATGGTTATAATGAGCAAATATTTCCCTTCTTCAAACACATATAAATAAGGGAAACAAAAGAAATCATACATGTGTTATATTGTGATAACCTTGTCACCAGCTCACTAACAGAAGGGCAGGATAAGCAAAACACACATGTGGAAAACCTATAGAAAGAGGTTTCCAGTTTCCTCCTAAATTTCCATCTGATTATATCACTGAACTTAATGTAAAATATTATTTTATGTGTTTTCTTCTTTTAAGGCAATAGTAGTTAATAGGGATGTACAAAATTGAAAATTTCCGCTTTGCTAAAATAATAATGCAAATATGGATAATGTGAAGAAATGTCACCATCTTGACAAAATATATCATAGTCAATAGGGGTAGGTGACAAAGTGTTTTTTTTAATGTTGCAACAGGATATAAATGGATTCTGAGAGTTAGGGAAGCTCCTTACAACAGTCATGAACCTGTTCTTGTATGGCCCCTCATCAGCTCCGAACGTGGTAAAAAGTTTTTTTTTTAAATAAACATGGCATAGGGGTTGATTTACTAAAACTGGAGTGTGCAAAAATTGGTGCAGCTCTGCATAGTAACCAGTCAGCTTCCAGGTTATGTTTGCAAAGCTTATTTTAAGAAGCTGAAGTTAGAAGCTGATTGGCTATCATGCACAGCTGCACCAGATTTTTTCACTCTCCAGTTTTAGTAAATTAACCCCTATGCCCCATGGTTTTACAAATTTGTTTGCTGCAAGCATGATGTCACAAATGCCCATTTTCTGTTGGTTTGTTGCCCGCATATTATCACAATTACCCATTTATTGCACATTATTATCACAATAGCCCATGCATTATGGTTACCCATTTATTTCCCAATCCAGTATTGTAAGGATTGCCTACGTATAGTCAGCACTGTTTGTTCAGCGGACCCATATTATAATAATTTAAACAGCTGCAGGCTTTTAAACTGAGGTGCTATCATTCCCATGCTTCGCTATGGTTCACTATGTACTAGAGCCTTTTTGGGTGAGGGGGGATTTACTAAAACTGAAGAGTGCAAAATCTGGTGCAGCTCTGCATAGAAACCAATCATATTCCAGGTTTTTATTGTCAAAGCTTAATTGAACAAGGTGATGTTAGAAGCTGAATGACTACCGTGTACAGCTGCACTAGCATGCACCAGTTTTAGTAAATCTCCTCCTTTTTTCACCATAGCATGCAAAGCATGGGAGCAGGGAGCATTTACATTTACTTCATTGCATATCTCCATTATTAACCACCTTCCAAAGGCTCGCAGTACTACAGGCAGCTACAGGCCGGGCAACATCAGTACGTCACTCTGGCTGCACCAACACAGGGGGGTGCTGCGTGCCGGAGCCCCCTCCAAGCATCCACAGCGGAATGCAGATCCCGGTTAACAGGACCCACAATGTCAACAAAGCGGTTATGAATCAATGTGATTCATAACAGCCTGCTTCCTTTTCTAGTAAGCTGTGATTGGCTCACAGCTCTCACATGGTACATGGGTCAATCAAAGCACCCTGTTCCATGTGATCAGCTGTAGCTAATCCCAGATAACTAGTATTTTGAACTATCATGAACTTAACCCATTCATGCAAGTTCAAAGCAAGCATTGCATTGCAGGAGCAATAATCTTAAATGCTCTTGCAAAACAGTATAAAGAAAAACCCGTATCACCCCCCAGAGAAGTACAATGTTACTATGGTAATACTGCACTACTCTGATGAAAGTATTTTGAAAAATAATAAAAAAAATAATGTTAAAAAAATATATAGAATTTTTTTTTTCTTCTGTAAGTACTTGCCAACCACCCGCCCGCAAGAGGTGGCTCTGGGCAAAGCGACATAACCAAATGTCACTTTCTATTTCTGGGTGTGAACGCACATGCGTGCACCCCCCCCCGTTGCCCCCCCTCTGTCGATCCATGGAGAGAAGAGAGAACACCACGCTGTAAGTAAAAGAACTACATTTTACACACACATTTTACAGTTTGATCACCCCGATAACCCTATCATTGCCCCATCACCCAGCCAGTGCCATTAGTACAGTGTCAGTATATAGAACTGTTCACTGATCACTGTATTACTATATATATATATATATATATATATATATATATATATATATATATATATATATATATATATATATAAACAGTGATTATCAAATACCACCAAAAGAAAGCTATATTTGCATGAAAAAAGGACATAAATTTTGTTAGGTTACAGCTTTGCATGGTCACGCAATTATCAGTTGAAATAGCGCAGTGCCGAATAGCAAAAAATGGCCTGGTCAGGAAGAGGGGATAACCTTCCAGGGCTGAAGTGATTAATGTAAACTGTGAACAAGTGTGATGTTTTTATTTTGAACTCTGTTCATAACCTATTTATTAGAACCTGTATGAAGCTTCACATAGGAGTAACTGACTTCTTGGAAAACGGAGAAGAGAAAATATTGAATGAAAATTTTGTGCAATGTAGCAGAGCATGTGGTACAAACTGCTGTGATGATTAAATAAAATGGATATCATTCATACCTTGTAAAAAATGGGAAACATTCATGAATGTGTTATGTCAATGCAATATATTTATGAGAACTTTTAAAGCCCCATTAAATAAATGTAAAAGCTACCTGACAACATGTTGTGAACTGGAGTTGCTATGTTAATATCTTGCAGATGTTCAAATGTCTCTGTGTGGAACAGACGCAATGTGGAGCCAGATGTAAAGGCAATCCAGATTCCCACTCCGGCCACCGCCATGTGAGAAATCACCATGCCTTCCTCTTGATGAGCTTCAAACTGGTGCTAAAAAAAAAGCAAAATAAAAATGTAATATTTTACAATATAATAGTAAAATACACTGTATAAGCAAGTAAATCCATTTCATAAGAGTAAAAACTTAACGTGTATAGAAACTGTAGCAATGAACTGCTCTTATTTGCTCCTTTTGGTCTGTTAAATGAACAACTAAAGTGTTTTGTTACATCTGTTCAATAGGTACAAAAAAGCCCAACAATTTCATCAATATATTTACATGATGATCTGGACAGTGGTCTTGTTGGCACCACCCAGCAAGACAAAAAGAAGGATTTTGATATACCTGTAAATTCCAGATTTTGGAGTACAGTACAGGACACAGGCAACGTATTCTTTCACCATGCGTTTTAGGCTTGTAATTTTAGGTGATTGAACACTAACAAGCTTTTGAGGACACATCCCCTGGGACATCAGCCCTATAACTCCACCCCACTCTGAGTGTCCTCAGTTTGGTAGCAAGCAATGCAGAGCAATAAGAGTTATGGAAGGTGTGTCCTGTATTGTAATCCAAGATATAAAATTCACAGGTAAGTCAAATTTCCTCTTATCTCATTCGTACAGTACAGGACACATGCAACATATTCATACACAATGGGACATCACAAACCAAAGATACAGCAGACCTGCATCAACAGGCGCAAAAACATCCACGAGTAATAATTACCCAGGTTCAGAGTGGTGATGCAAGAACTATGCTGCCGAAACCTGCATCATTAGAACACAAAACATGTACCTGGTATCTTGAAAGTAGGAACTGAAGACCAGGTAATGGCCTGACAGAGTTGAATGATAGAGGAGTGAAACCTAAATGTCCAGGATTCTCCAACAATTGTGGTGGAGTGTGCCTGTAACATTGCAAAAGGAGGCATTTGTGATGCACGTAAGAGCTAGTGATTAAACAAGTTATCCTCCAAGTCTGGTGATTCTGAAAGCTGCATGCCCTTTGTGATGGCAGCAGGAAAAACAAACAACTCTGTTGAAAGAAGAAACAGTATTTCTGATAACAGGCAGACAATGAGTGGAGACCTCCTTAGGATGCTTGAGAGCAAGGTCTAAGGATGGTAGCACAGTGTTCTCATTGTGAATTATCAGGCAGGGCTCTTAGCAGGAAAGAGTCACTAGTTTTGAGATGTGTTACATATTGTAGATGCTATTGTTACCAGAAAAGACAACCATGTTAGCCAGGGATTCACAGAAAGTGTCCCAATCATTGAAAGGGTTGTTTCTACAAGGGAGCAAGTAGTAGGTTGAGGTCAGGGGACACAGGGTGCCAAAATGGGGTCTGATACAAGAAGGAACATGAATAATATTTGTGCAAGTAGTATTGAGCTGAACTTTCCTGGGTTCGGTTCGGCAGGGGTTTGCCGAACTTCAAAGAAGTTCGGATGCGGAACTCCACGATGGCAGACGAACCTGTCAAATTAAAAAGGCCCATTTTGTAGGCTTTTAGGGAAGGGAACATAAAAAGCATGGGGGGATGACTACTACCCTGGAAAACATGTACCAATGCAAAAACAATTTTAAAAAATTCCATGCAGCCGGGAGCAGTGATTTCTCAACCCTGACATTTAAAAAATAAAAAGATTTTTCAATTGCAGGCAAATGATATCTCCTGCTTCTTTTTTTGAAAAACAAAATGGCACAGAGACCCCAAGGGTTCCCCAAAATACATTGTAGATTCCGAAGGGTCTTTTATCTATTGTGGGGGAACTTTTGAAGTGTTTGTGTGCTATTTCTTTTTTGTTTTTAAAGAAGCCAGCAATTAAGTTTTCTTTCCCAGAAATTTAAACTGTCATTTTTTTTTCTTTGTAAATGTGATTTTTGCACATCCTACAGCAAGAATGAAAAAAAAAGTTCTCCAAAAATATATACCAGACCCTTTAAGTCTGGTACATATTTTAATGGAGACTCAACAAAAAATGTAACTCCAAAAAAAAAAAAAAAAAAAAAAAGTAACCACTTTTGTTGTGAAAAAAATATTTCCCTCTAGGTGATCAATGTACATGTAAGGGTTTTAACAGACTTTGTTGCAGATGCCTGCCTTTTGTTATTCTGAAGCAATAGTGGTTTGTCTATCTGTGTCCCTGGGCAAAGTGAATCTGTATGGGAGTGACTTTATAATTATCAATCAGCTGCTGCACCTGCAGGGCTCTAATGAGAAACGTGACAGGGTCTGCATCTATTCAGAAATTATATCCCTTTGGCAGTATCCTACCAAAAATGCAATTTTTGTTGCAGGGGATGCCCAAAACCCGATTTGTATTTTAGTGCACACTTCTCAGAAAATCAGTGAGCCAATCAATCACACAAGCAGGAAATGACAAACAATGACACCATCCCTGTATACCATAATGCATTGTATTTTACAGTAAATTACTATGCTGCAGATGATAAAGGAAAGGTATTTTTTTTAAATAACATTCAATTACAATATGACTTGTGTGGCACATGTACATGCTATTATTTTTTTTTTCCATTTATTCCCACAAATGTGGACTTCTCCTTTAAGCATGCAGCCTGGCTGGCCAGGAAAAGGGGGGACTTTCTCCTGAACCATACCAGGCCACATGCTCTCAACATGGGGTGTGCCTTGCCAGGGGAGACCCCTCCTGGCCTCAACTTCTCAACCACAACAATGGTTGTGAGGGTCTGGGGGTATGGGGCTAATCGTAATCTGGAAGCCCTCTTTATTAATAAGGGGGACCCCATATACCAGCTCCCCCTTAAGTAAACGGGTATGAAGAACATAGCGCCCTTACTCATTCACACACAAAAATAGATGTAATCTAGAAATAAAGACATCAATGTCCTTTATTTAAAGAAAATAAAAATTCTCCAGAAGAGTCCCTCATTCAAATTCCATTGTCAATCACGATGCCTACTGCTGCAAAACAAAAAAAACACCAAACAGTTGCCTGCTGCACTTGATCGATCCAAAACAGCAACACTGTTACTGTCTTCGCCATAGCTACAAGTGAGGGTATTCCCCCATGGGGCACTTGAGTAGACCGAGGGAGATAGAGTAAGCATGTCCAGTAGGAGTATGCAGTAACCCAGATGCAGATCATCCTGCAATGAATCCTCAAGGCAAAAGGGCAGGAGGAAGGGTCACACAGTGGTGCGATATAACACCTGATTACCTCCCGGAGACTTAAGTGCCAAGTTTAACCACTTGATAACCGGGCTATAGCTGAATGATAGCTACAGAATGGTTGTTCAGTTCTGGGAAAGCGTCATATGATGTCCTCCCAGAACGCGCCCCCCGGCGCTGTCTGTGAATGCTGTGTCCTATGGACACATCTAATCACATGACAGGGTAAAAGGCCAATCACAGCGGCCTTTTACCATGTGATCAGCTGTGTCCAATGACAGATGATCACAAAGTAAATACAGTTGCTGGTTATTGGCAGCACTTTCCTCATGTTGTCACAGAGTGTGGAAAGTACTGCTGATAACCAGCAGGTGTCACAGAGGACATCTGCACTGAATCAAGGCACTGGATTATCAGTGCCTTGACTATCAGTGCAGCTTCAAAAGTGCCCAGCAGTGGTGCCCATCAGTGCCCAGTAGCACCACCCATCAGTGCTACCCACCAGTGCCAGCCATCATTACCCACCTTTGCCGCCTATTAATGCCCATAAGTGCTGCATACCAGTGCAGCATCATCAGTGCCTCCTCCTCAATTCCCACCAGTGCTGCCCATCAGGGCAGTCTCATCAACGCACATCAGTGAAGGAGAACATTTACCAGTTTGCAAAATTGTATAACAAAGAAAACTTTTTTTTGCTCTTTTTTCATTTATAGTGCAAAAAATTAAAAAACCCAGTAGCGAATATCACCAAAAGAAAGCTCTCTTTGTGTGAAAAAAATGATAAACATTTCATATGGGTACAGTATTACATGACTGTGCAATTGTCATTCAAAGTGTGACAGCGCTGAAAGCTGAAAATTGGCCCAGGCAGGAAGGGCGTAAAAGTGCCCGGTAGGCAAATGGTTAAAAAGTTTACACCGTAAAGTGAATACATTCCAGCCCCATTTTACACAGTAACAATCAAAGATACAGGGTGACTGTCTTACCTGTTCACAACTCTGAACTGTATATAAATTCCTGGCTTTGCCCATCACAGTTGGCATACCTCCAAAGGGGTCTGCAGGGACTGGGTTACATTGTGATGGACTAAACCCTGGATCTGTATAGCAACCTGAAGCCAAGTCAAAGCGTTTTATCAAATGCCAAGGTCAGTGCCCAGTGCAAGATCCAGTGTCCAAAACATTACAGGCCATTCCCACACTGTAGGTTCTAATTTCCATGGTTCTACCAAGGGTTGCACCAATCTGGATACACTGCTTCTGTAGACAGCAAGGTTGACTTTAGCGAGGTTGACTTTAGAAAAAATCTTTAGTAAAAAATAAAAGTAGGGACACTGGTTTCTCCAGAAAGAAAAAGAGGTCCATCACCTACAGACATTAGCAAAAAACTGAGTATTCACGGAGTGAGGTAGAGCTATAGGAGAGGAGCCCTGGGGGTTGGGGGGTGCTCTCAAAAGCTTGTTGAGGTATATTTGCCTAAAGAGACGAGCCTCTCATGTTGCCTTGTCCAGTACTGTATAATTATGATTCTCAATGTTTCAATCAACAAAGGAGCTGGGTGAAAATTTGTTGGCTGAACAGTGAAGAGGTAGAGTAAGGAGCTCCCATATTTCTATTCTGCCAGCAAAATAAACTACTGTAATGGTGGTAACAGCGACAAAACAAAACAAAGACAGCACTGAGTGATATTATCACATAAGCACATTGCACTTTCTTATATAGGAATGACATTCCCTTTACCACTGGGTGGACAACCCCCTTGATAACATTATCAGGAACACCTTGCATTCATTTAAAATATCTGGGAGAATGTATTGAACTAATTTCTATTGCTTTGATTAAATCTAACACTTCAATTTTATACCTGGTTGTAATATCTGCTCTAGAGATTATCCATGTTATGTACCATATAACAAAAAGATCTATAAACCAATTACATTTTTGCCTGGAGAAACATTCCAACCACTCTAATGTTCTAAAGGAACCGCAGCAGCTGAAAAAACTACTCTGAAGTTAAATGTCACAAACAAAATGGCATTATTAGCAAACAGCATCCTATTGCATAGTAAAATAATATATTATAATACTATATATCTTAGCCATGTTCATTTAATTTTGTTATGCATTCTATAGAAGTTTATACCTACTTCAGTATTATACGTTTCTCTGCCAATTATGAATATTTGTCCTCCAGATGCAGCCCATATAGTTCCTTCCATTACCAATAAACTCCGAACAGGTAAAACTCCTAATTTAATCAGCTTTGGAGAATCCACATTCCAAGACCCATCTAAATGCAAGAAATAAATAATAAAAAATCAATTATATGTAAAAAAAATACAAGGGTAAACAATCACTATACAGTTCAAATGGTCATACACTTTGAATTTTGGTGGAAATAAAATATGTTTCAAATATTTCTAGTCAAACAGTAGCTTTAAGAAGAAACACACACATCAAGGTCTGTGCAGAAATCAAATGTATATATTGCAAACACACATCCTTAAGTACCTCAATACTGGACACTTTTACTCCTTCTGTCCAGGCCAATTTTAAGCTTTCAGCACTGCCACATTTTGAATGACAATTACACGCTCATGCAACACTGTACTCAAATTCATAGTGGATAGTGTCACAGGAAAACCTGTGTAACAAACTGCGCCCACCCTATAGAATAAAATAAAATATCACCTGTAGTTTAAATACTGAAGCTGTGATGAGCCCAATAAGGCTCTCCCTAGCTAAGAGATTGTCAGAGCTGGATTACGATTGTGTGGGTGTGGTGAAAAAAACCCCCATAAAAAATTCTAAAAATGAGGATGAGAATAAATAAATCAATCCAAGAGTACAATAAAAAAAAAAAAAAAAAGAAATAACAGGAAGGCGCAAACACCTAGTGCATTACCAGCGATTCATTTTTATGAAATCCAATAAATACCAAGTGAATACTCACAAAAGTAGAAGAGGAAAGGACATTACAAACACAACATGCCACAGTATGGAAACCGTGTGGAAACATGCAGCCCTGCTAAGCTGGCAAACTGACGCATATTGAAGGCATACCACTTTATTCAGAGCTGAGCTCAGGACTGAAAGAGTGAGGCAGAGTTACTGTATAGAACAGGGGTAGGCAACCTGTGGCTCGCTAGCTGTTGTGGAACTACATTTCCCATGAGGCATTGCAACATTACAAAACGGACAGTTACAGCTATGACTTGCAGAGGCATGATGGACCTTGTAGTCCTGCAACAGCTGGAGAGCCTCAGGCTGTCTACCCCTGGTATAGAGGATGCACCACGGTGGAGGGAGGGGGGAGTGTTCTCAAACATTTGCCAGTGTCCAATCACCTGAAGGTATTTGCCTTTAACCCATGGTGTATGAATATGTTAACTGTGTCCTGTACTGTACTCTAATATAGGGAATTTACAGGTAAGTCAAAAGTCCTTTCCTGACCATAATACAGTACATGAAGACAATTACAGTACATATTAAAGTTTATATCAAAGGCTTTTTTGCCGGATATTATTATAAAGGATTTATATAGTGCCAACAGTTTGCACAGCGCTTTACAATATAAAAGGAGATAGGACAGTTACAAAACAATAAAAAATAAGAGGGCCCTGCTCATAAGGAGCTTACAATCTAATAGATAAGCTTTACATTGAATGATAAAGTAGAATAAATCACTCATTTTGGGTGTCCTACGTGTGTGAGTGTTGCTGCATTATATAAAACTATTAGAAATAATTTTTCACAATTTAGAATGGGGTGCCTCAAGACTGTCCGTAATTTTAAAGGGTGTCTTGAATAAAAAAAAGGTTGAAAAACACTGATCAAGATAACCCATAGTGCTCTAATAATCCTTTGGCAAAAAGGTTGCAAAATGGCAGACAAACATTTGTTTAAAAACCTTTGTTTTAACCCCTTCCCTTTAAGAGTTTCAGAAGGGAGGAGGGGTTTAAGGATCATGTGACCACCGTGACACGCTGTCACGGCGGTCAGCTACATGATCGGGAAAGGTCCCAATCGAAAGCGCAGACCGGGACCTTTCTGTGAGTACCGGACATGTGTGCCGGGAGTGCGCTCTCAGCATACCCTGTTGTGCGCTAACTCACATACATTTTTTTTTTGCTTACCTGAATGCAAATGTGCGGGCGCTCGGCGTCTAGGCCCAGACGCCAGGAGGCCGAACATTTGTGTGCGACCGGCGTAAAGGGTTTAAAAAAAAACAATTAACCACTTGCCCTCCTGAGGATTTACCCCCCTTCCTGATCAGGCCATTTTTTACTTTACGGCACTGCGTTACTTTAACTGACAATTGCGTGGTCATGCAACACTGCACCCAAATTAAATTTACATAATTTTTTAATTTTTTTTCCCAATGAATTGAGCTTTCTTTTGGTGGTATTTGATCATGTGTTTTTTATTTTTTGTGCTATAAAAAAAAAAAAAAAAAAAAAGATTGACAATGTTGAGAAAAAAAAAACCAGTATTTTTGACTTTTTGCTATTAAACCTGTCCAGTAAAAATTAAAAAAAAAAAAAATCAAATTTCATCATAAATTTAGGTCAGAATATATTGTGCTACATGTCTTTGCTAAACGAAAAATCCCAATACGTGTAAATTAATTGGTTTACATGAAAGTTATAGCATTTACAAATGGAGGTATATATACTGGAATTTTTAATTTTTTTTATTTACTAGTAATGGTGGCGATCAGCGACTTATAGCGGGACTGTGGCAGGCATTCTGTCACTGGGAGGAACTGACTTGGTGTCACTGACATCCCAGTGACACCAATACAGTGATCAGTGCTACAAAAAGAAAAAAAAAAAAAAAAAAGCACTGACACTGTACTAATGGCACTAGGCAGGAAGGGGTTAACATGAGGGGCGATCAAAGGGTCAACTGTGTGCTGGAAGTGTTTTACTGGGGGCCGTGCCAGTGTGCTTCACTGTGAGCACACTGCTCTGGATGGGTGTGCTGTGCACAGCCATCCAGAGCAGTGTGTCCGAGCCGACAGGGAGGAGGACTGTTAGTAAACAAAGCAGCCCTCCTCCCCATCAGAGATCCTTGGCAATCACCAGGCAACGGCGGGGAATCACCAGCCGGGACCTGGTGATTGAAAGCCGCGCAAGTGCCCCCTACCCTAAAATGCAAAATCACATATATATACGTGATTTTGCGTTTCCCCGCCACCTTGTAGCAGTATATTTGCTATAGGGCAGCGGTGAAGCGGTTAAAATACTGATCAAACGCTATCAACACATCTAGAGTTTTTGGTTGTCAGATATCGAACACAATTTGAATTTCTACCATATATATATACATATATAATATATATATATATATATATACACACACATATACATACACACACAACATGCTTACTATACAACAACTTTCAATTACACCATTTTGAATTTAAATGGAATGTGACAAGGGGGTTTATCAGTTAGGCCTCATTCACATGAGTGTGCTTAAGCGTACACCCTTGTGAGGAGGGCAATGTTTTGCCTGCACAGGATGTACAGGTGTACCGAGCATCTATGTGCAGGCAGTCCCACTGCAGTCATTTGGGACAAAGCAGCTGCACAGACAGCCACTGCTCCCAGTCAACAACAGTGTGGGTGAGGGGACTCAAACTCACATAGATGTCAAATTTAGAGCAGCGGCTGTTCAGCTTTTGCGTCCCAATTAACATTCATGGGACACCTGTGCATCCCGTGCAGGCAAAACATGGTTCTCACACAGGTGTATGTTAAAAGCAGGAGCGGACTGACCATTTAGGCACTCAGGCACTGCACGGGGTCAGTAAGGGGCCCCATGGGATGCCCCTGGTACCTTTCATATGTTTTTTTTGGGTGTGGTTTGACTGTGGGAGAGGACACGGGGCCCCATGATTTCCTATTGCCCGGGGGCCCCATGAGTTGTCAGTCCGCCCCTGGTTAAGTGTGTTCATATGAAGGAGGCCTAAAAGCCAATCACTATATATGTACTCTCAAGTCATAATTTGAGGATTATTGGAAAGCAACAATTTATCTGAAAAGGCATTTATGAACTGTATTGTTAAACTTTATTCTGAACTCAAACTTAGATGGCTATGCTACCAGAAAGAAACGAAAAATAGTCATGTTGTTTACATTTGCATTCAAAGACTGCATTTATAAGATATTGTTGGATTTTCCATATGTATTCTGTATGTGCTGGAATTCACAAAGCTGGGGGACAGATTAGACCTGGATGGCTGCTATTGGCAGGCTACATGGTTATTATCCCTCTGGAACAGACTATCTGGCACCAACTTCTATGTGGTTACAGCATGGTGCCATGCAATAAATGGCATACAACCCCTACTGCTAATTAGGAACATTGTATATTAAAGAAAATCTCAAACTCTGATGCTAAAACTGTGAACTGCAGTACATATATATCATTAATATATGTTTAAATTAATAGTATACTACTTTGAAAGTATATTAGAATTGCAATTCACCACTAGTCTGTTTTTGTGCATATATACTGTATCAAGACATTTTGAGACTTGTTTTATTAAATGCTATCATGGTTGGTGTTTTGTCACTTCACCTGAATGTGCCAAAACCGCTTTATTTTAATTATGTTTTAAACCAGTGATAAAAAAAACATATTTGTCATGTGAGTACAGTTATAAAATAAAAAACCAATGAAAAGTTATTTTTACCTGTAGTAACCCATTTACAGTTATGAAGGGACATTACAGTGGCTTAAATTGTTTGCTCTATTAATAGTATTGCCAGAGCAAACAATTATAAGTGCTATTGATCCTGAGGGCAAGGCATTTATCTTCTTTGCAGACAACTTTATCCCTTTGAAGGGAACTATAGTAAATATTGTAAAACAAATATTCACTTTTCTTTTACAACAAGGACATTTAGATCTGTTAGTTATGAGCATTTTTTTCATGCTTAAAATGGTTCTAAAGCCTAAACATTATTTAACTTAAAAATGTATAGGTAACAGTATTGCCCCCTCACCCGGTGTATACTTACCTGAGTCCTCATTTGATCTGACACTGTGCTCATCAGTAGCAGCTCCCCTCACTCTCACAGGCTTTGCTGAGGAGCCATTGGCTCCTGGGGGGCAGGAAGTTGGGGCTCTGCCATTTTGTCTTTGTCCATAGACACACACAGTGCAGCTTGGGATCAAGCTTGCAAGTGTGCAACAATAAGAAGTGGCTTCCAGTGGTGGCACACCAAGAAGAGGAGGAGCAAGGATCTCCAGTGGGGTACTCAAGAAGAGGAGGTCCGG